TTAGGAAACTTTAGGATTTAAATTTGAGGCCATTCTGGGAGTTCCGACAAAACCTTGGATAAAGGGATTTCCAAAAGATGAGAAAAGACCCTGAAGAGACCCGAGGACAGACATTTCTTTTCACTCTGCAAAGATCTGATTTTGAGAGAGGACTGTATGGCCAATTTATGCTTCCCAAAATCTTTCTAGAAAATCTAGGGAACATATGAATACAAGTTTATTTTAAGAATTTTTGACTTTAAAACTCGGGCATTTTCATCATCTATGTTTTTAAAACAGAAAATTTTGCTCAGCCTTTCTAAACTGACCAGTTTGAAAGGAAAGTGACTATACCGATTATTATGTATCTAAAATGACCATGGTCATTATTTGAAAGAAAATCCTCCTCCGAGGCCTGTGAAACCCAATCCCTTCCCCATCTTGCTGCACTGACTCAGCCTCACTGGCAAACTTTTGCGAATATAAGGCCTCAGAACACTGTCCTTCTTAACCACAGGCAGGCTCTGCCTTCCATTCGACTTGATGTCTCCTTTGGCTTTGTTACTCAGGTGCCAGATGCTCAGTGGTAGGGACCAGGAAGACAACGGACTCACTTTGACTCTGAACGGCACGGTCCTAGTTTGGTTTCTGTTGCTGTGATAAACGCTGACCAAAATCAAGTAGGGGGAAGGGAAAGGGTCTGTTTGACTTACACTTCCACGTCATTGTGCATCACTGAGAGAAGCCAGGGCAGGAACTCAAACAAAAAAAAAATAATAATTATTATCAAGTAAGGATTAGATTCACGTGGTCCAGTTTTTTTGTATTTGCAAATTCAAAGTAACTACTTTATTATCTATCCTCTCTTGGTGAGTTCAAAGTTTTGTAACTAATACATTTTCTATTCTAACTTGTATTACCAACCTCAAACTATCTTCTTAGACCTCAAAACATTTTCTTAGATAAACAATTTAGGCTCCTATGTCTCTCAACCTTACACCTCTTATACCTCTTTTGGGAGTTTCTTTTCTGAATTTAGTAACAAGGAAAACTGTAACTACAACAGTAGGCAAGTGTGAGTATTACAGCTTTGGAGCTGCAAAGATATCCTGACCTGTTGGGAAACCAGGCTATACTTAGAGATGCAGTAGGACAGTTCTGGAAGGGTAGAGAGAGCTACAATAGGACAGTCCTGGAGTCTGGTGTCACTACAGGACAGCTCAGCCTTGGTGGGGAAATGTATCTGACTTGTCAGGAAGCCAGGCTGGCTATACTTGAGCCACAATAGGACCGCTCTGGAGGATGGAGCCACAACAGGACAGCTCAGCCCTACCGGGAAAGGTGTTCTGACTTGTTGGGAAACCAGACTACAGGAAGTTGGGGTGTGGTGGGGGATGGTCTCCCTGCAGAATATAGCAATCTCTTCTCTGGGAGAGCAGCTACAGCTGAGCTGTGCTCTATTCCCCTTAAGGAGTGTCCTAGCAGAGCTATAGGCTTCTTCTTCCACCTAAGATGTTACTTCTTTTGCTAACACTCTGCTGAAGTGGAAGTCCCTACAGAAATGTAGCAATCTCCTCTGGCTCCAGTGAAAAGTCTTTTTCTGCTCAGCCTTGTTCAACCCCACTTAGGGAGCACCCCAGCAAGCTTCTGTTCTTCTGTTCTGCTCAACCTTGCTCAGACCCCCTATGTTTTAAAAAACATATTTATTTATTTATTTGTTTATTTGTTTATTTATTTATTTATTATGTATACAATATTCTGTCTGTGTGTATGTCTGCAGGCCAGAAGAGAGCACCAGACCTCATTACAGATGGTTGTGAGCCACCATGTGGTTGCCAGGAATTGAACTCAGGACCTTTGGAAGAGCAGGCAATGCTCTTAACCACTGAGCCATCTCTCCAGCCCCCTCAGCAAGGTTTTTCAACTCAGTCCCCTAAGGGACATAGCAGCTATGTTCTATTCTGCACCAACTAATGAAGATCATCACCGAAGACTCGTTTGAGAAAGAGATTTATTTGGGTCGAAGGAGTCCAGGAGAGTGTCTGCCTCTGCCAGGTTGGTGAAAGACAGCCTCCAACTGAACAGGCAGACAAGCTTACATAGGGCTTCCTAGGGGCAGAGGAAGAAGAGGGATTGGTTAGCTTTCCCTGCTCAGGGACTGGTTACATTAGGTGGTCAGGGGCAGAGATGGCTCTGATTTCAGGGCCAAACTGTGGGTTTTTGTTTTGTTTTGTTTGTTTGTTTTTTTCGAGACAGAGTTTCTTTGTAGTTTTGGAGCTTTCCCTAGAGCTAACTCTTGTAGATCAGGCTGGCCTTGAACTCACAGAGATCCGCCTGCTTCTGCCTCCCAAGTGATGGGATTAAAGGCATGCACCACCACTGCCTGGTGAAACTATATTTCTTTCAGTGGTTCTTTTTAGACATTTAGCTCTAAATTTAGGGCCAGGGCATATTTCTTTCACTGGCTCTGATTCTGAGGACAAAGTGTGTTTCTTTGACAGTGGTTTTAGAGTTAGGGCATGTTTCTTTAGTTCCGGTTTCAGAATTAAACGTATTTCTTTCCCTGGTTCAGGTCTCAGATCTAGGGTGTATTTCTTTCACTGGCTCTGGGTTCAGAGCCAGGGTACTCAGGAATTGCTTGGTTTCCTGCTCAAGGATTGGTTGGTTTTCCTGCTTCAGTTGTCCCTTTTACCTGCATTAACTACATCATCTTCAATTCCATTAGAGATCCAAGGAAGAGATAATATTACCTGAGTAAACAGGAAGTACAGAGCAAGCATCTTCTAAAACTATAGAAATGACAGAAGCAGCTGGCCGGCTGGACAGTCACCCAAGGTTTCCCTGTAATGCTGGGGCATCCATCTTTGGTCTACAGGCCTAGAATATCTGACAGACTTTTCTATGAAGCAGGAATTTTGAAGGACTGTCTTACCTTGTCTTGGAAAAGTTTGGCAGCCTCCTTCTTTTGTGCCCTGCTTGTTCTACTACAGCTGTTAGCAGTCAAGGCAAGGGCAGTTTCTTGCTCAGTGGCTAACTTTGTCACAACAAAAGCAAACTCCAAATGGTGGTTCTTTGGTACCCATCCTCCTTTTTTGAAATAAATTGGTGTTGCCAAGAGCAGATGTGTCTCATTTTCTTGAAAAGCCTTAGGTTATTGAAACATCTTAAATGCCATATTCTGTAGATCTCTGAGGTGTTTGAAGACTACCCATCTATCTAAAATAAATCTCTGTTTAACACTGAACACATACCTAACATAACTACAACTTTGATTATTATAGATGACTAACTACTAACCTGTATTTCTAAATTATACATTACATTTTAAAATGAGCTGCATAAGTATAATACCTTAAACACGAATATATATATATATATATATATATATGATGTGGGAGTTATTTGTTATTAATAAAGAAACTGCCTAGACCCATTTGATAGGCCAACCCTTAGGTAGGCGGAGAAAACAGAACAGAATGCTGGGAGAAAGAAGCTGAATCAGGAGCCACCATGATTCTCCCACTCCAGGCAGACGCAGGTTAAGATCATTCTTGGTAAGCCAGCTCGTGGGCTACACAGATTATAAGAAATGGGCTAATCCAGGTGTGAGAGTTAGCTGAGAAAAGGCTAGATATAATGGGCCAAGTGGTGTTTAAAAGAATACAGTTTCCGTGTAATTATTTCGGGGCATAAGCTAGCCATGTGGGAGGCCGGGTGCCGGGGATGCAGCCCCGCCGCTCCTATTACAACATATATAAATACTTGCATCAATATACAAAAATACCTTAAATAAGAGTAGGAACATATATCTATATATAAAGAGTACGTTCTAATAAAAACCTTAAATTTATATCAATATATAAAAATCTACACCAATGTAAAATATTTGAGATTAATAGTTGCTTTTTAGTTTAAATAGATTCAATAATCTACCTTTTTATTCTATCCTATCCATATCCCCCCTGTCTTTTTCCCCCCAGAACTAGATCGTTAAATCCAACCTTTGCTTAGTTTCCTTCTTTACCATGACTGGCAACAATTTGCAACCCCCCCCCCAATGATGACAAACATTCATAGCCCATCAAATGACCAGAAATATCCACCCCACCTCTTGGGAATGTGGTTGTCATATTCTTAAAATTAATTCCTGGTAATGTGGTAATGACATCTTTAGGGAACCCTGAGAAAGTGGGTTAATGACTAAGCCCTAGGAGAGCTAGCTGTATCATTTTTTGTTCAGTTTCTGTGTGATGGGAAAGTGTAGAGCTTATCTGAAGTCTTGGCTAGATAGTCTGTGAGGATGAACCATCTCAGCTAACAGTGTTGAAATTGTCCTGAGTGGATTATAGTTCAAAGCTGATATTTAGATGGTGTTTGTTAGCTTAATGGCATTACCACAATCCAGGTGGAATTGCTGTGGGGCCCCATCATCTCTTTGGAGATTTCAAAGTTTGCTGTTAGAAATGGTCACAGTTCACTACAGAAAAACATCTTAAATGTCTTATGCAGCAGATCTCTGAGAGGTTAAGGAACCACAATCTATTAAGTATATCTGGGGTACACAAACTTAATTCCTAGTTACCTGCTTCAGACTAAGTCCAAAATCATGTATAGGAAGCTAGATGAAGCCTATTTGTAGAATTAGTTAGTACTTTATATGACCATTAATATCATTTAAATATATAGAGACATATTATAAATTTAAATATATATAGACATATTATAAATTTAGTGATAATATTTATATTTTAGTTACAATAGGATAGTCTATTAATTTTTGTTGTCTTCTGTTCCATATCAGGTGGCTCTGCTGACATGAGACAGAGATTTTTAGATTTTCCTTTAATCAGCATGCTTGGGTTTAGAGAAGGAGAGAGCAACACTCCAACTCCAAAGCCAGTTTTAAGCTTTAATTGGAATAGGACTTGAAAAAGACCATTTGCATTATATGTCTGTAGAGAACAGCAGAAACAAATATTTGGGAAGATTATGAAGTTTTATCCTGTTAGTAATGTGCTATAGTGCTTGCTTCGGCAGCACATTTACTAAAATTGGAACGATACAGAAAAGATTAGCATGGCCCCTGAGCAAGGATGACACAGAAGTTTGTGAAGCATTCCATAATTTTTGCATTTCACCATCATCTTCAAGTACATAAAAGAACACATACTGGTGATAAACCCTACACGTGTAACCACTGTGATAAAACCTTTTCACAGAACAGCAATCTCCAAGTACATCAAAAGACACATACTGGAGAGAAACCCTACAAATGTAATCAAATGTGATAAAGCCTTTTGGCAGAAATGTAATCTCCAAGTACGTCAAAGAACACATACTGGAGAGAAACCTTATCAATATAATCAATGTGGTAAAGCTTTTGCAAGTCATGGAGACCTTCACAGACATAACAGAACACAGACTGAAGAGAAGCTCTTTGAATGTAATCAGTGTGATAAAGCATTTTCAAGGAGCTCTCAACTCCAAATACACAAAAGAACACATACTAGAGAAACACACTATGAATATAATCAATGCGGTAAAGCCATTTCATAGGTCAGTAGTCTCTACCTTCACAAAAGAGCACATACTGAAGATAAACCCTATGAATGTAATCAATGTGGTAAAGTCTTTTCACAACTTAGTAGGAACCAAAATAATAATATAAAAAAGCATGATGGAGAGAAGTCTTATTAATGTAATCAATGCGGTAAAGCTTTTGCAATTCATTGTGAGCTTCACAGACATAAATGAACACATAGAGGAGAGAAGAACTTTAATGTAATCAATGTGATAAAGGTTTTTCATGATGCTCTAAACTCCAAATGCATGAAAGAAAACATACTGGAAAGAAATCTTATCAATGTAATCAATGTGGTAAAGCCATTTCTTTCTTTTTAAAAAAGTTAGTTTTTCGAGACAGGGTTTCTCTGTAGCTTTGGAGCCTGCCCTGGCACTAGCTCTTGTAGACCAGGCTGGCCTCGAACTCACAGAGATCCACCTGCCTCCCGAGTGCTGGGATTAAAGGTGTGCGCCACCACCGCCCGGCTATTTATTTATTATGAATACAATATTCTGTCTGTGTGTATGCCTTCAGGTCAGAAGAGGGCACCAGACCTCATTACAGATGGTTGTGAGCCACCATGTGGTTGCCAGGAATTGAACTCAGGACCTTTGAAAGAGCAGGCAATGCCCTTAACTGCTGAACCATCTCTCCATCCCAGGTAAAGCCATTTCATATGTCAGTGTTCTCCAACATCACTAAAGAACACATACTGGAGAGAAACCTTACAAATATAATCAATGTATTAAAGCCTTTGTATGTCATAGAAGTCTTTATATCCATCAAAGAACACATACTTGATAGAAGCCCTACAAATTTATCCAATGTTGTAAAGCCTTTGAATGTGTTATCAATTTTAAAATCATGAGAAAGAATCATACTGCAGAGAAACTTTTTTAAAAAAAAATTGGGGGCAGGGTTTCTATGTAGCATTGGAGGCTGTCCTGGAAATTATTTGTAGACCATGCTGGCCTTGAAGTCCTAGATATGTGCCTGTCCTTCCCAAGTTCTGAGATTAAAGGTGTGTGACACCAAAGTTTGGCCAGAGAAAAAGGGGTAATGAGTGTGGTAAAGTTTTCCTCTTTGTAGTAGTCTTTATACAAGAGTAAAACTTTTAGTGGATAATAGGTCTGTTAAAGCCTTTGCAAATCATGGTACTCTTTGAGGATGTAAGTGTTATGGTTTAAGTAAAAATGCTGCAGATCCCCAAGTGGCAGCAGCAGGCCATGAGACCATGCTGCCAGTCCCCAAATGGCAGTGGGCAGTGGGTCCTGAGACCACAGCCAACCACAAAGGCAGTCGGGTCCCAGGCACGAAGCCATGTAGCAGGTGAGAGACAGAGACAGATAGGCATGCCATGCAAAGTGAACCTGCATTATTCATTTAGTGGGTTATGGAAGGGAAGGCGAGAAGGGGGAAGAACAGAGAGAGAGAGAGAGACAGAGAGAGAGACAGAGAGACAGAGAGAGAAACAGTGAGGGGGAGAAGTAGAGAGAAGGGAGAGGCAGAAGCTGCCTCTTTGAGAGAGAGTGAGAGACAGAAAGGAAGGGACTCAGGCTGGAAACTGAAGATCAGCCTGCCTCAGCAGATGGAGGAAGGAGTGGGCATGACTTGTCTCTTAAAGGAACAGAGCAGACCATTACATTCCCATCTCTTTTTTTATAATAAAAAGGTGGGAGGTTAGGCACCACAGGTTAAAGGAATTGGGGCCGCAGATTCTCAAAACTGCTTCCTTTTTATTTAGGGGCATCATCTTTGGAGGGGACCTGAGAAGGCTGGGTGCTGGTCATATCCTGGCATAGCTAGTCTCTTTGCTTCTGTCCTGTGTTTGTGGTATGGAAATGTCTGGTGTCTCTTATACCTTTTTAAGGTATTGGCAGAACAGAGGATAACGTTAAATTAAGGGAAAAATTTTAAGACCAGGGAATTGAGGGGGATGTATCTGACCTCTTTAAGGTGGATCCTTCAATTCAGCTCCCTGGAACTCACAAGAATTCTTTGAGTTTGTAAAAACAGAAGTTTTAGACATATACATTGTATAAACAGTAGCATATTTATGTCAGAATGTCTGTGACAGATACTTTTACACAATAAAAAGTATTTTTAAGACATAAATTCTTTCACAAGGAATGTTAAACAGCCCTACCTTATGTCAATATTTTGTACAACAGCCAATAGAACTAATTCATAAACAGTTTCCTGAATCTATAATTTACCATTACATGAATGATATCTAATTGACTGATTCAGAAACAGATACCTTAGAAAAAAATATTTGATGAATTAATGAGAGTTTTGCCTTGTTGGAGATTACAAACTGCTCCTAGCACCCTGCACTCTGGTGTTCCCCAGTCTTAACATGGGAAAGATTTTTCTTTTAATATTATTTAACTCTCTACTAAAGGATTTCCCAGGAATCTCACCAAATCTGCTGACATCTCAGTAGTTTGTTGTCTGTGGCGAACTGAAGCCCCTCGCACAGTTTCCAAGGGCAAGCCTGCCATTTGGTTCTTGGCAAGCAGCAGCCACTGCTGTGAGTGCTTGTGCGAAAAGACCCAAGGCAACTGTGGTAGAGCAGTCTGGCGTGACGTCTCCGTCCATGTGACTGCACCACTAGTTGGAGTGCCAAATGTTGTTTTAACTCTGGCACAGTGGCTGTGCCTTAATCTCAGCCTTCAATTGCAGCTCAGCAGTCACCAGCCTGCTTACCTAGCAGTAGCCTGGCAAGAATCCTATTCCCGCAGGCATCAGTCCTGTGGCTGCCACTAAAGGTAGCTTTAACTAAATCTCTGTCGTTCTAATTATGACTAAGACTCGAGATTCAAAGGTTGGGGTACAATCCTGTTAGCTCAGAGAGGCTGAGTTGCAGCTAGCTATCCCCAACCATGGAAGACTCAGGCTTCCACTTCAACAACCAGAAAAGGCTGTGCCACTCCAAATCCCTCCTTACTACTTCCTGTGTCTCTCTGTCTCTCCCAGATACCTTCTGGTGCTCTATGATTACTTCCTGTCAACTTGCTGCTAATGCAGCCTCCTGACCCAAGGTTAATTTAATTAACAAAAATACAAACTTGGGGTTCACAGTGTGATTGAATATCCCCCTAATATTCCCTTATCCTAGGTGAGTTTAGTTTGTGTCAAACTGACAAAAACTAACCACTGCAACAGTGCAGAATAAGCAGTCACAGAAGCTGATGTTAATTTCATGCCTTATCAGAGCTGAGACTCTGAGAAAACATGGCATCAACATCCTAGACATCTGTATTATATCTCACTGCCACCCAGCATATAGAGAGACAGGGTGCAGGATGGAAAAGGGCTGTCAATCACTCAGGAGCTCAGGCTTGCCCTACTCTGCTCAGGTGGTCAGCCGTGTTTCTGAGTCTTGTGATGTCCATGTTTTCTTTATCATCCCTGGCATTCTTCACTCTGACCACGTTTGCACTCAGACACATGAAACAATGACTCTCAAGATAGTATCCCCTCTGGTTTCAACTGTGTAATCCTCTAGGGGCAACTGGTTTGGGAGAAAGATTCATTCAGACCAAGCAAATTGCTAATGATGTGAATAAAAAATGAAATACAAGGAGGAGGAGGTGGCTACTCTAAAGTATGGAGGAGATTTTTATTGTAGAAATGGGGGAGAAAGCAGGGAAAAGGAATAGTCCAGCCTGAACATGGCTGGCAGACTTAACTAGACCATGGGGGACGAGGACAAGAAAGGAGCTGATGATCAAAGAGGTGGTCCAGGCAAAGAGACCAAACCCTGTAGCCAAAATGGGATATATAGGGATCCGACTGGGGAGGAGGGAAGGGAAGCCCAGCCCCTGGGAGGGGGTAGGGTGGGAAGTGCTGGAACGTGCCACAGATACTGAATAAGACTTGTGCTGGGTTTGGGAACCTAATACAATGTATATGTACTAAGTTATTAATAATATGGATATATAGATTCTCTTTTATAATATAGGGTACACATGATAGAACATAAAATTGTCTTGTGATGCTAGGCTATGGTGGCGCACGACTTTAATCCCAGCACTCGGGAGGCAGAGGCAGGCGGATCTCTGTGAGTCTGAGGCCAGTCTGACCTACAAGGACAGCTAGGACTGTACACAGAGAAACCCTGTCTCAAAAATAAAAATTGTCCTATGAGAATCAAAGTTAAATGCTGGAGGCTATTTATTGTTTATGTTGTGCTCCCCTAAATAGGTTTGTCTCATTTGCACCAGATGTGCTTAATCACATGTGGGCAGTAGGTACATATACAGGAAACACATCAGGATATATGCTTGCCCCTGATTGGATGTAGGCAGAAGGTACAGGATGTGTGCTTGCTTATGATTGGACCCAATAGAAAATACAGTGGCCTTCTGGCTTTGTCTTTTTAAACCTTTGCAAAATGTGACTTGTCACCATTTCCTGGGAACCCCAGAATAGTCCAGGGGTTACACAGAGAAACCCTGTCTCATGGGAAAACAAAAAGACATTCCATGAAAGTCTTTCAAAGCAGGGGAGATTAAAAAGTCCTTATCCTAAACACAAATTTTTAAAGTATTTGATAGAAC